TGTGTCGAGATTTATTGTGATATGTGATATGCATGATCCAGAGTTATCAGAGTTAGGACCTTTGGGTCCATAAGTTAGGGCTAGAGAGCCCACAGAGAGTTGGGACTGGAGGGTCCCACTGAGACACACTGACCAGAGGGTCAGCAGAGTCATAGCCTCGAGTGGCTAATATGTGTTAGAGTGGTATTTAGGGGAACTCACTAAGCTTTATGCTTACGGTGTTATGTGTTATGTGTTTCAGGTACCAGTGGTGATCGCGGGAAGGCGCCGGCATGATCTGTACACACACCCGCAGAGTTTATTATGATTTGATCTTGGGATTTGTAGTGAGATAAAATTGATACATTGTTTTTGAAAGCAATTGTGGATGAATTTATATGGTTTTAAAAAGTGAAAAATTGTTTTGAAAATTTGGGTGTTACAGTAAGGATCATTCTTAGTGTTTTTATTTGTTTTATCATCAAGATCCTGAACTTATAGGAATCCTTCTTATTGTGTAGGATCCAAAAACACTCGCTCTAGTGCTCGATTCGTCTTATCTGAGCTTGAAGATGCCATGTCTAGCGGTTTGCTCATGGTGAAGAAGTAAAAGATCCCTCCTTCAAAGAAGACTCGGCTCGACCTCACTGTGAAGACCACGACATCTCGCAAGAGGAAACCATCTGATGCTTGGGATCTTGAGAATCTTGGAACAGAGGAAGTGTTAAATGAGATTATGATTCCTTCGGGAATATAGATAGATGATTACTATAGGAATGAGATTGTGTGTGGTCAGAGAATATAGAGAAAGGGTTCCGTGTGTGGGACAAAGTAAGACAGTTCTTTTAAGAACCCTGATATAATCTGTGATGGATCAAGTGTGAGGCATCATTGTAATCTGCGAGGGATTTACAAGAAGAAGAATGTTAAAGGATTCGCGAGGGATCAGAAAGAGGGGACTAAGTATGGATGATTGTACTCGGTAAGGTCAAAGTTATGTTGTCCCCATATATGATAGATGAAGTTCTCTTATTTATGATTGGACCATTAGTCTAAATGAGAATAAAATGATAAAGCATGAGAAGTAGAGGATAAAGAGATAAAATGTAAGAAAAGTATGAGAAAGGCATACAAAGAGTATGAGATGAGATGAAAGTGGAGTAAGAGTATGGGAAGGGCATGCCATAAGATAAGATGGGATGATGACATAGCAAGATGATAAGAAAAGTATAGAGATGAAATGAGAGATGAGAATAGGTGAAGATAGAGCATGAGATGAGTATGTGGTAAGTTGAGAAGGATATGAGAAAAAATAAGAAGAGTATGAGATTAGAATGACAGAGTATGAGAAAAAAAAGAACAAAATGTTAGAGTATGTACAGAAAGAAAGTATAGAAGAAGAATATGATAACATGAAAACAGATTATGATATTACTCATATGTCCGATGTAAACTTTTCATGTTTTTGCAAGTTCAGGTAGTAGCTAGGTAGTAGTTGTTGTATGAGAGAGGAGATAGAAGCACAAGAACTTTGACTAGATATAGATTTTTATTTGGTATTTTCCTTGTTGCTTTAAATTGTGGTTATGATTCATTGTAAACCCAATAATATCCTAGGAGGTAAAATGTTTTCAAAAGACCAGAATTCTGCATTTTTATAGAAAACTCTGATAATTCCCCATATATTTATTGTAGAAAAAATTTGGGTCGTTACAATACTCGTCCCCGCTTCGGGCATGAAAATCAAGACCTGTTCGCGCCTCATTACCCGTTAAGACGGATATACCCACCTCATTAGGGTCGGGTACTCGTAGATACCTGAATCCGTAGGTAAAATTTGCATCCTTGATATCTCTCTGGTGTGGTTTCGGTCGCTATTCTTTACTATTGGCTAATTATTGGCTATTAAATGAAAATGATTAAAAAATTGGGCTAGATTAATAATTTTCTCATAATTTAATTAGATAATATAAAGAATAATAGTGTAGATAAAAAGTTGAGAATTTAATAGTTTTAAACAAAAAATTTACGTTTTGTATTTAAAAATGTATTGAGTCTTAAATGATATTTATTTAAAGGTTATAAAATATTTGTTAAAACACAAGTGCTTATGGTTGGACTAAATAATTTAAATATATTTTGCATTAGATAAACATGCATTTAACATTGTGACACAAGTAATATGTATTATGTTTAAACCATTTTATTATCATTTGTTGTGGATTCCTATTATTAGAGATGTAAAATTGAAATAATAATTCAAATGTATTTTTAATCAATTTGTTAAGATTTGTAAAGAGTATGAATAACCCTAAACACGAAAGAGATTTTATATGGTTAAGAAATGGTAGACATATCATTTAAGCAAACATCACAACAGCAATGAACAGTGACAACTTGTATAAAAAGCTACAGGAAAGGCTAGTCATAATATACTATCAAGAGAAGATTAGATGTGTCATTACATGTACCAAACAATTTGAGGATGAATGAAGACGAAGTATTCCCCTATTAAAAACTAATCCCCCTCTCCAACAAAATCCTTCACCCTCATCACTCTCACTTGTCCAATCGTGGAAGGGGTAGTATTAGTAATCTTCGCCTTCTTGTCAGTACCATGGATCTTGCTTGCAGATTCCTTTTCTCTCTTCTTTCCAGATAGTTCGTCGGGAGGTTGTTCACATGTGTATCCATAAAAGTACACACTTCCATCTTTCCAGTCATGTGAGATATATATGTCTTTGTCAAAGAACAAACCATATACTTGTATTGAAAGCCTTTTAGTATGAAGGGTTCCTATAACAAATTTTTTGTTATCGTAAGTGATTTGCAAACAAACATAATCGTTTGTGTTTGTTTTCTTCTTCGATACTCCAAGATTAGCCTGAGTACCAAGAAACTTAATTAGATATGAACATATCATATATTGTAGCAAATTGTTTTATACCTGTGAAAGAAACAAAACCTTGCCTTTACCAAGTTTTACAGGATATGACTGACCACTTTTAACTTCAACAGCTGTATCAAGAGAATATAAGTGTTTGCAAGAAGAGATAAAATTCAACAGCTTAAATAAATATAACAATTATATCGTGATCAACAACACAGAAAACTAATGTTAAAAGCAACTTATATGAAGACACCCAACTAAATTTTAACATTATACTTTAAGAATGCATATAACAAAGTGCTCATAGAAGGTAACCATAAGCACAATGCATATATAAATACCCCAAATCAGAATATTTGAAGAATAGCCGGACCATTACTGCAAAGACCATACAATCTTATAAATCCAACATTTAACCCATTTAAAAGGATATATGCATATACATAAATGCATAAATATAAAATCTACCAAATTCTGATTCATGTATAATAACACATAGTGTACCTAAAAGAAGAGTTCTAGCATCCTGCATAGTAGTTGCTAACAGTCTTCCTTTAACCCACATGAAAAAGATATAACAGAACTATAAATCTAGACCAACGCTTAAACATCCTCCTTTCACAATAACAAATACAAATCTCTTCAAACGAAAAGGAATCAAACAAGCAAGCTGAAGCACATATTGCCTAAAGGACCAAAGCGTATTCCAAGAGATACATAAAGCTACATTCTAATTGAATTCGACGACGAAAAGCCAACACAGATAACAATAGTGAAAATAAAATATATATACGAAGCATCTAACAATTACATGAAAATATAAACAAACAAAACATATTCACAATTCTACGACAGGGAAACAAACGACCCGATGAATTGAATTTTCATCGTAACAAAAAACCCTAACTTAACGACATAAATGAAAAAGGAAGACACAAACAGAGCGTCTAGCTAGGTACCAAAATAGAAACTTACTCCAAGGCTCCATTGTTGCAAGAAGGAGAAAGGTTCGTGTTTCGTGAAAGAAGGAGATAGAAGTCTGTGTAAGCAGATTAGGGGTTGGAAGAAACGAATACGGAATTGTAAGGGTAAATTACATGAATGGTGGTTAGGAATAATTTGCATGTTTAATCCTAACATCTTCTTTTAATTCGGACCGTCCCTATTATATGTTTTTGTTGCGCAAAAAAACTATAAACTATATTGCCCATGTATATTTCTTTTCTAATTAATTTAATGTTTATTGTTTATTTATTTAATAAATTAAGGGAGAATTTCGTATATGTCATTGTTAAACATCAAAATATCATATTTATCCAATTTAATTTTTAAATATCGTATATAGTCTTCATAAACATTCAAAATATCAAATTTCCCAAATCCTTATTTTTAAACATTTTATAATCATTTAAAAATCCTTATTTTTAACAATTGACTATTATACCCTTTTTATAAAAATCTATATCTCCATAAACATTTCATAATCACCATTAAACTGCCCGGCCAAATCAACATCGACATACATTTTATCCATTCCCACCTCCACCTCCGGTCACATTTATTGACATTTCCACACAAATTATCACAAATGTTAATTTCGATATAAAGAAACTTCATTCTTTCAAATCTGTAGCTTCCTGGAGTGTATATTTAGAATCTTGGAGGTAAAGGTGTCCACTTTCTCAGTTTTGTAATTTAAAGAGAATGTGATCATTTTCATTTTTATATTAATTAAACTAGCTTTGAACAAATCATTTGTGAGAAAAACCTTCAATGAGTGTCCTGCAAAAACTTGCCATCCAAACTAACTCGATCCAATAACTCACTGGAAATGGGGCCAACTCACAAGATTGATTACAATGACTCTTGGGAATGAATTTGGTAATAATGCAATTGGAGAATGAACAAGTTCCACTCCAAATCCTAATCTGTGAAAATTCAATTGTAATCAGAACTCTACATATAACTATGCACAAATCTCTGAATTACTCACGAAAACTTACAAAACTACAAAGTAAATGGATTGAATTCGATAACTCTCGACGAATTACATGGCTGAAGTTAAAACTCCATAAGAGGATGAACTAATCTGGACATTTCTACCTCTGACAACGAGTCCATGGAGAGAACTTCAACGAGTCCATGGACATTTCTACCTCTGATTATAATATGTTTATGAAGTTATAGATTTATTATAGAAGGGGTTTAATAGTAAATTGATAAAAGTAAAGATTTTTGAATGATAATAAAATATTTTAAAATATTATAAATAAAGATTTGGGTAAATTTGATATTTTGAATATTTATAAAGGGTAAATATAATATTTATATTTTAAACTAGATAAATATGATATTTTGATATTTAAACCAGTTGTTTGATAAAATATTGGTCCCGCCCACCCATCCCCTCGCATCTTCTTCATTTCTACAAATGGACAAATGGCTATCTTCTCCAATAATACCTACTACCAAGTATAAACAAACCAGATAAAATCAAAGTAATGTCCTTGGGACACGTAATTGAAGCAATCTTGTAGCAATTCATGAACTTGAAACAATAAATACAATCCTTGAGAGCAAATCCGACGAACTTGAGTTAACCCAAATACCAATGATTCAAGAACAAATGAAACCAAAAAAAAAGTCCTGAGACAAGTAATCAAAGCAAAGTTCGAACAAATTTAGTCTTGCCACCTCTAGAAATCCACCATATACAAATAAATAAATAAAACCCTCATCTATATTTGATTTCTTGTTCCACCATCACTAAATCCAGATCTTTTCACGTTTAAAATTCAAAGTTGAAAATGCAGATGAATTTGCGAAACTAAAGTTACTCACAAACCCAGAAAGAAGATGGATTCGAGAAAATCAATATGTATAAAAATCAAAGGCCCAAAATCAAACTTTTCACCTCCTTTAGAATTTTGTTCTTCAAGTCCTCATCGGAAATATCTAGTTCGTAGTGGCTTGATAGGA